CACGAGCTGAAAGCGAATAGTCTAATCCCACATGCCAAAACCAACTTTCTGCACGAGTCGCGAACTAGTACATTCCGCAACAAGTGCGGAAAAGTGATTTTTGGCGTACGAGAGGTTTGTCGCACGAGCTGAAAGCGAGAGAAAATAGTGCATAAAGTTTGCATAAGATTGTGTAAAGTATTTTTAGCGGTTTGATGTGTTGTTGTCGTTTCTAACCGAGCGATTTGTTTGAAATGGAATTTTCTTCTCGGTTTTTTGGACGTCGACTTCTTGTCGCGACCCTTTTTCCACACGTGGGTCTTCCACGCTGGGTCCTGGGCATCGTACGACGGCTTCAGGTGATAAAGCGCCATTTCCTGGTGAAAGACAGGAGTCGCCGACCCGGAGAGTGGAGGAACGATCCACAGCCAATCAGCTGGGCATCCTTTACGCAGCCTCATCTCATTTTCGTAATGCTTCATGAAGGATTCCGATGCCGTGTGGTGATCCACGATTGTTACATTCTTTATCTGGGATACAAAATTTTTTTATACCCGTCGCTAATCAATTCTCTCCCTTCACTGGGAATTCCATTATTCGTGTCGCTATCAGTGAAACGTGAGGAAAATTACCTGAAAGCTGTACAAGACAGCAACATTTGCTTCTATCATGGCTTTATCTTTCCACAGAGTTATTGGTGTTCGTGTGTCCAGACCCATGTTGATGGCTATTGTCTGAACAAAAAATTCAAATCTTTTATTTAAATAATCGTACGGGAATTTCCAACAAGGAAAACAAATTATTTTCGAGTCAACATGATGGAAATCTCTTAGATTCACACAATCTTTACGAAGAGAAAATTTCATATCTGAGAAAATTCATAAATAATTGATTGATTGATTGATTGATTGATTGATCGCCCGTAAGATTTCAAAAATACTTTTTAAGTTCTCAATAGTCACAAAAAAATTAATAAAGTAGAATTAAATACTTCATTTACCTATTTCGATTATCTATAACTGTCATTAAGAGTAAATTTATTTGTTGTTATTATGGATTTATTAAACAACAGTGAATTAGCGCGAATTTGTCTAAAGATTAAATCAATCAAATAGTTACTTATTTGAAAAATATTTTTGATTTTTTAAAATCTAATTTAATAAAAACAATAATTTTTGCGCACTAACAAATGGGTCTACTACATTTTCCTCAATTTCATTCCTAATTTCGTTTAATTATGTTATTAATTGATAAATTAATTCAGTTTCAGGGAAATCATCCACATGATATTTTCGTCAAATACTTTTTTTGTAAAAAATATTTTGTCGCGCACAGATCGGAAAATATATAGTATAATGCATGGGAACAAAATGTAAAGTCCCGAGATGATATCCTGACTGAGAAAAAAATTTCTTTTCCCAGTTACATGTTCATCCCACCAGCAAATCTGGTAATGACTATATAAATATTTCCGTAGGATTCACTAATATTGAATGTTTTCTTGTGGTTAATAAATATTCTTGGCAAAAAAAATGTTTTTTTCTCAGTGCATAAAATTATAAATAATAAAAACTTTAATAAAATGAATTTATCCTTCAACAGTATTTACCTCAAGTAGATTGTAACGTGTGACATCGCAGAGATCGCGGGCCCCAATTTCGGTGCTCATGTACCAGCCATTGAAAGGAGTAGCCGTGAACTCCAGTCCTCCGCAATCAAAAACCATGGAAGACACCGCGGGAACAGCGAACCATTTCAATTGCATTTCCTCGAACCATTCGTATCTACATGGTTCAAAATGAAGGTAAATATATAGTTGAGGTCCACCAAAAAACGAAGATCATTGAAATATTAATTTCTTCGACGAAAAATCCATTCTTATCCTCTCAGTTACCAAGAACAAGACGAAAGAAGAGAGTGAGAAACAGCAAGGAGGGAAATACATCGAAAAATAGTCCTGAGGTAAACTCTGTTTTTCCTGAAATTCCTTAAACCCCCCCTGTCCTCTGGTGTCGCTGTTGACGCGACGAGTGAGTGATATTAAATTCAATATTTTGAATAGCTACAGAAGGGTAGCGACGGATAAGTCACTCGTTGTGTTCGTTCAGCGATGGTAGATGGTCGGGAGAGATGAATTCAGAGTTTTAGTGAAGTGCTCAGGACTATTTGATAAATCCATCTTTCTGTGTGTCCATTGTCTATAAATGTGCTAACATGTGGTGTCTTTGGGGCCGACACACCGCCACGTCCTCGCCGTGGCCCTGGATAACGCAGAGAGCGGTGTATTAAATGTCATATCTCCTATACTAATTGTTTCCGGATAAAAAGGTGACCAAATCCTTAATTAGGTGACGGAAACCCAACCAATCAAATATAAAACATCCAGAATGGTTTGGTGGACCTGAACTAGACATTTACCTCTGTAATTATTCCTCGAAAATGAAACGCACGACTGATTCAATTTTTCTTTTTTTGGAGTACTTGAAGAGGAAAATTAATTGTTCAGTGGATACTTACGTCGGGTGCTTCAAAGGAACTTCGAGGACGAGTTCTGCGGGAATGTCAAAATAATCGGGATCGTGGCCGTTCGCTGAAAGAACCAGTGGTAGAACATCAAATCTCGTGCGAATACCTGAGCGCGGGCCCCTCCAACCGAGTTTGAAGCACAACTAGAAATAATTGGTACATTAATTACCTTAAACATTACATACATTACATACATTAAACACGGACAGAAAAGTTAAATTAATTAATAAAAATCACCCGAAAAAGCACGTGAAATTTACAAAATCTCATCTAAAAATTCTTCAACATAATAATTCTTGAGGTGCCTGTTAGATTCGACAACTATTTTCTATCATTTGGCGAAAATTCCAGATTTTTCGCTCATATTTTTATAAAAATTCACCTCAAGCCATTCTCGCTTGCGGATCATCTGAAATGTTCCCTAATTTTTCTTGAATATTCCTCTCCACGAACATTATATTAGAAAAAAAACATATTCCCAGTATCTCTTAAAATTCTTCGAATCAGCAATTGCATTTTATTATACTAATTATCTGTTCCTATTGATTCATCTACTTCCCCTCCTTTGAAAATAATTTCATATAATTGTTTTAGTATCGCATTAGATTTGCTACTCCTGTCTATTCCACTTCATCTTGCCTTCAATTTAATAAACTTGTATTTAATTAATACCTCCACGGCCTCAATACATCAAATCGCAGATAGATTAATAAAAATATATTTACTAAAGTGCATCCACAAGGAAAATATGTGATAGACTGGGGAGGCTGGAGAAGGCACCGAGAGAGGTGGTAACGTGATAGAAGAGTAAAAGGGCGAGAGAAGGCTGAGCTATGAAGAGAGAGGAAGGAAACGAACAAGTGTCAACCTTAAATTTGCGAAAGCTAAAAAAGTGGACGGCTAAGACACAAAATTTTATCAATATCAAAACCGTCAAACATTAATATTAATGTTATGAGGAGCGAAAAAATGGCCGGTGACGATGTAAAACAGAGAAAAACTTGTACAACTTTTAAACATCAAAGACAAATAAATAATAATAATAAATTAATAAAAATATTTATTAAAGTACCAGAGGTGATGGATAAAAAAAAATTATAAATCCTGAGCCAAGCGAAAGGCTAAAGAAGAATTGATACACGATTCGTATTTTAGTTTTCCTGTTCATTCATCAATTAATCAGAACAAAATGCAGGAATGAAGAATGTGAAAGTATTAAACTCACATCGGTAAATTCTGCATTGGCAGGATCACCAAGAATACTGCCATCCTTATTTTTATACCCTGCATAACCGATTAGCTGAGAATTCCATACGCGGTAGTCATGCTTGCCATCAGTGCGTTGTGGAAAAATGGTGATGGCAGACCTTGAGATAAGTAAACCCATCATTTCCATTCAATATTTTCTTTTCCTCGATCAATTAAAAATAATAAGCGTATGCAGCGCACCTTATGTTTCCTTTATTAGTGCCGTACTTGATGTGATTGCATATCGCCTCAAACATTCCACTCGTTGTCGTCACGTATCGACAATCAAAAACCTGGAGTTTCGACCACTGAATTCTGCCGATGCAACGCGCCGCATTTCTCCAGGCTAATTTAGCACCGAAAACTAATTCTGTTTCGCTTAACTGATAAGTGCCGGTTGTCAGCACTTCTTTTTGGACGCTCTCCCATCGCAAGTGATGAGCTTCGCTGTTTAGTCTGAATTCAATTAATTAAAATACCGAATTAATTGGAAAATCATACATAATTACCTTCGAATCGATGTGAAGTATTGCTCGAGGAAGTCCTTCGCGTGAACCAGGAGTTCCTCTTTTTTCCGGGGCTCAGGCCCGTGGAAAGGAAGTGTCATGATACTTCCAAGACAGACTTGTCCGGAGCAAAGAGTTTTCTGAAATTATAAACATTCCTTTTAATTACCCAATCGAGAATAAAAATTGAAGAATTAATTAATCCTCGCGACTTCGTACAACTCGTGATTAATTATTCAGGACAAAAGGGGGTGGAGGGTGTGTTATCACTCCACGAAAAATTAAAACGCGAAATTTGAGAAATCGATTGAATTACCTCTGTTCCTCGCGGATGAAGGGAATCGAATGCTTCAGTCTTGTAGATTAAATTCCGCAATTTCGTAGGTTTTTTTTGGCAACCGGTGGTCTCTTGATCCTTCATGACTCCTGGGATCGGTCAAAACAATAACTCGGTGGAAAAAAAAAAACTCGGTGGTACTCTGGCTCAGGCTCGAGACCAACTGCGGGTCTTTGGCACTGCGTAGTGAAGCTCAACGCAGTGGATTCGTTATCCCACATGCGCTCACAGCATCTCACCATTGATTTCATCCCCGTGGAGCCGCGATTATGCACAACTGTCGCGTTCTCCTTTTTTTTCGAGAACAACTCAGGTAAATGTAACCGAGAGCACGATAATTAAGGGAAAGTCCCTTTTGCTTTATCGTTTTCAGATAATTCTGACATTAGCTTGTCTTGTGTTCCTCGTAATGAGTTTTGTTTGTTGTACCATTGTACTTCCATTACGAAAAATAATATTTACGCATCTCTTCAATTTCTCCCTTTTGACGAATTTCCTGCCGTCAAGGGAATTACGACCCCAATATTTTATCGATCACATCCTATTTTTTTTTTTGGAGCTTCCTGCAAAAAAAGTGATAGAAAAACTTTGCGAATTTGCTAGACAATTCTATCGGATTTCTATTGAATTTTGTATGAGTTCTTCAATAATTGAGATGCGTTGATAGAATTCGATTTTTCTATCGGAATTTGTTGAATTTCTATTTGAAATACTGCAGGAAAAAAATTAAATCTGGTGTTTTTCACTCTATATTTGTATTCAATAGTGACGAACGTTTTTATTGACAATAATTCTGAGAAGTATGGGCTATAATATTTATGTTTTTTTTTATCTAAACAGACTTGAATGAATAAGACCTTATATGATGACGAAACTTCAGAGTGCAGAGTGGATGCTCGTGAACAAGAAAAAGAAAAATTTAATTGTCAATTGAAGATTAAAGGACGCCGATAATTTCTTTGATTGTGAGAAATTTATGAATTTTAATTTGGCATCAAGAGCGACAAATATAGAAATGAAAAGTTTGCAGATGAATGTCCAGTCAGGTCTATTAACAACATGATAATATTTAATAACTGTTTTCCAAACAATATTTTCACTTCAAGGAATGTGTGAAAGGTACGAATTTTTCTTTATACAGTCAATTAAAAGCAACCAATAACCAATCAAAAGCACATAATAACAAAAAAAAACAATGATTGAAGAAATATTTCCATTAGAGAAATAGAAAATTTTTCTATTTTACTTTTCACACCACCAAGTTTCTGTTGAATATCCATACTACTCTTGCCTCCGCGCAGGGTATGAAGGCCCGAGGAGAGTATAGCCATACACTTTTTGGCTTGGGACAATTTTGCCTAATGGAGGTCGGTAGCTGGAGTAGCTGCGAGAGCTGAGGCTGCCCACCTCGGGTCTAGGGTGTTGAATCCCTTCGTTCCTTAAATTAGTTGCTCTAAGGATTTGGCGACAATAAGATGTGCCTTTCGAGCGACTAAATAACAAAATTTATTTTGAATCAATTTTTCGTAGTTATGTCCCTTTAAATTATTCTATTCCCAATAAAAGTATTGAGATATTTTGCAAAAATCTCTCAGCAAAATAAGTTGACTAGAAAAATTGACTCGTCATTGTACGAAGCAGGCGATTTATTGCCGTGACAAGTGCCAATTAACTTTACACCGTGAAAATTCAGAATTACCTCTCTAATTGTAGTAATGAGTTAGTAATCTGAAGATTGGAAGTTCAAACCCACATTCTATCCCAACATGAGACGTCGATACAGAACAGCAGAGAATCCCTTATAAAAATAAAGCTCATGATCACTGTTCATTATTATAATAAAAAAATCAATTTAATTTGACAAAATCACATACCAAAAGCCTAAACCGAAAACAACAATAAAAACAGTAAGTACTCAATAGAATATAACAAATTAATTTTAAAAATCACTAAATTAAATCTAATCGAGACTTGAAGAGAGATCCCACTTCATGGACCTCTCAACCGCCATCTTCCACTTGGAATACCGAAGGTCCCTCTCGTCCTCTCCAATGGCTGACGAAAACTTGGTCATCTGTGAGGGTTCGACCTCTGAAACATCAAGGAGTCCAGCCCCGATGCCAGCCAGTATGGCAGCTCCTAAGGCAGTGGACTCCACCATATGTGGCCTGAAGACATTTATCCCAGTCAAATCTGCCTGGAGTTGCATGAGAAGATCATTAACCGTCATGCCGCCATCCACGAGAAGAGCCGAGAGTTTCGTCCCAGAGTCTTTAACCATAGCCTCGAGAATGTCTCTAGTCTGAAAGCAGACAGCTTCGAGGGCTGCTCTGATGATGTGATACTGCTGCGTGTCCTCAGTGATTCCACAGATGACTCCCCTGGCGTCCTGCTGCCAATAAGGCGCATAAAGCCCTGAAAAGGCTGGAACGAAATAAACATCCCCTGAGTTCTTGACGCGCTCTGCTAGCTCCTGGGTCTCTCCGATGTTCTTGACGAGCTGCATGTTGTCCCTCAGCCAAGACAGTGCAGCCCCTGCAACAGCGACAGAACCCTCGAGTGCGTAAACCGCTGGGGATTTACCGAATTTATAGGCTACGGTGGTTATCAGTCCTTGAGTCGAATCGACTTTAACTGTTCCTGTATTGCAGAGAAGAAAGCACCCGGTGCCATACGTCGCCTTTGCCTGCCCTGGCTTCAGGCAGAGTTGACCCAGAAGAGCTCCTTGTTGGTCACCAACGCATCCTGACAGGGGTATACCCGATAAGCAGCTTGGGCTACTGATCTTCCCGTAGATCTCAGCACTTGATTTTATTTCTGGCAGCATATGCTGGGGGATATTGAAGAACTTTAGAAGCATTGGATCCCATCGCAGAGTCTCGATGTTCATTAATAGAGTGCGGGAGGCGTTCGAGACGTCTGTTATGTGCAGCTTTCCATTTGTTAGGTTCTGTAATTATTATGAAATATCATCAGAAATTCTCCTAGAGAAATTAGGAATTTTGAGGGAGTGCTCTCACCCATATTAACCAGGTATCGATAGTCCCAAACGCGCAGTTTTCAGCATCAACTGCCTGCTTGATCCTGGGGACATTATCAATAAGCCAGCGGATCTTCAAGGCGCTGAAGTATGGGGACAGTGGGAGTCCACAGATGGGCTTCAGATAGTTTTTATTTCTGGTTTTGTTCGGGATCTGATCAAGAACGTCCTCGAGAGTTGTTGTCGTCCTCATGTCGAGCCAAACTGTTTAATTTTGTTCTTGTTAACAAACCGATTTCTTAAAAGGGTTCTGGTATAATGAAAGAACAATTATTTGTACCTATGGCGTTGTGCAGGGGTTCCCCAGTCTTCTTATCCCACACAACAGTCGTTTCCCTCTGATTCGTGATCCCTACAGCTTTGATATCTGAACTGTCGATCCCTAGATCCTTCAGTTTCTCCATCACCTTCGTGATGCACTCTGTAACAGCTGCAAGGATCTCCTTCGGATCTTGTTCCACCCATCCCTCCTGAGGAAATTTCTGCTTTATCTCGATCTGGTGGGAAGTCACTACTTTCCTCTTTGCCACATCGAAGATCTAGAAGAAAAATCATTTCGTATTTAATTTCAATCGTTAATTTATTCATTCGTTAAATCTACTTTTTCTCAGAAAATTAGATTTTAACGAGGAAAAGGATAGGCTTATTTTTTATTTGCATTAATTTTTCTTTCTCTCACCAAGAATCTGGCACTGCTGGTACCTTCGTCAATGGCTCCAATGTAGAAAGGCTTCTTCTGGATGTCAGGCATTTTTTATTTACCGATTTATTATTTAATACTCGATGACAAGCTGCAGCTAATTTCTGGCACTGACCCGATGATTAACCTTTCTATCTGAAATTACGTAAGTCGTATTTATCAATTCGCTTTCTACTAAATCAAGGGTCAATTCTAGCGAGGCTAACCTCAAAGGCTCCTGTCCTCGCCCAAGAATTATTTAAAGCGGAAAAAAATCAACAATTTCCTGTTAGAGTTAAAAACCATTATTCAAAGATCATTATCAAGTGGGTGCTTATTGTCACATTGAAAAAACAATTTTCCTCATTTAGAACATCCCTAGAAACTAGGGAAAATTCCCCAGAGGCGGATTTTCCTGCTAATTTTCACAGTTCACCGGAAAAATCTTACCTTTCTCTGTGAATTCCTCTGAATTCTACGAGAATTTCCCCACGCTGCAGTCTCTACGCTCCATTTTGTGTATAAAAAAATATTATACTTTTATCTTTTATCTATATTTCACTTTTATCTAGATTTTTTAAATTATCATTTTTGCCGCTTCATCTCCATTTTCGGCAAATGGAAAATTTTCAAAAATTTCCTTTAAAAATCAACGAAGAAAAACTTTCCCGTTGAATTTTCCGACTTTCCCCTAATTCCCTCCAAAATCGTAAATTTCCCGATGAGTTTCTCTAAATTCTCTTAGATTCTCCCTGCGCTATAGTTTGCACGTTCCATTTTGACGGAAAAAAGGAAATATTTCCCTGACTTTCCCACTCCATCATTATCCCCAAATTACAAATTTTCCCTCTAAAAATTAATAACAATCCATTTCCCAGGTCACTAGAATTTCCCCGAACGATCCCCTAGAATTTCCCCGGAAAAATCAAATCCGAAACAGCCGATCATCAAAGAAAAGCCACACAAAAAGAAAAAACTTTCTCCTCGAATTTCCTTACTTCCCCTAATTCCTCCCATAATTTTCTCAGAATTTTCATCCTCTAGTTTTCACTTTCCATTCGGTGGAAGAAAAGAAAATGTCTCCCGTTCATTTTTCCCCCCATCCTCATTATCCTCAAATTAGAAATTTTCCTTCCAAAAATTAACAAAAATCCATTTCCCGACCCCTAGAATTTCTCCAGAAAAATCAAATTCCCAAAAAACCAATCATCAAACGGGCGAAGATAATTAAAAAGAAAAAACCTCCCCCTCGAATTTTCCTACTTGGTCCTAATTTTCCTTAAAATCTTAACTTTCCCTGTGAATTTATCTGAGTCCACCCAGGATTTCCCTGCACTAAAGTTTTTACATTCCGTCCCCTGAAAAAAAAGAAAATATTCCCCTCATTTTTCCCCCTATCCTAATCATCCCCAAATTACAAATTTCCCCAAAAAATTTTCCTGGAAAAATCAAATTCCAAAAAAGCCGATCACAAAAAAAAGACAAATAAAAAGAAAACACATTCCCCTCGAATTTCCCCCACTTTCCCAATTCGCCAAACCACCACTCCCCTGCAATTCCCCAGAATTTCCCCACCCTAGTGTTTTCCCCAGAATTTCCCCCAAAAAAAAACATCAAAGCCCCAAAAAACGAGCGCCGAAAAGAGAGAAAAAAAAAAGAAAAACTCTGGGGCTGCAGCAGTGGCGCTCGTCTCACTGTACTTCTCATTTCACTTTGCGTTACCGGTAAGGAAAGTCGTCTCTCCCATCTCCCGAGTCCCATCTCAGTAAAAAAAAAACTGCTAATTCAATTAACGAGCCCTCAAAACCCCTGAAATCGGCAGTACCCGGGCCGTGCCAACCCCGCCACTCGATTAAAACCTCAAAAATATTTATTTCCAGGATTCAACAGTAAGCTGGCGACGTAATAAGTGTTTCCTTATTCCACCGGACTTCTCAAATACGGTACAGTAAGTAGACAATTTCAATAATTTAAAAAAAAAATAATCCCCCGAACGACTAATTTCGCCCCGAGGTCAATCGTCGAGCCCTGGGATCGGACAATTTTCATCATTTTTGTGCCCATTTCACTCCCAGATTACGTAGACAAAAAGGTCGTGGCGATGGGAAGAGGTTACCGTTCTCGTGACGTGTCAAAGCCCCGAGAGATGTGAAGGAAGGGAAAAATTCTCCATCATTCCATATGGTTGTTATATCTGCGGCCCTCCAATCACTCCATTTCCACTCATTTTATTATTCATTTCAATAACTCCAGGTCGTACACTCATCATTCTTTTTTTTCACTGGATTTTACTCATTTTTACTATTTTCTGTCACCTCTCGGCCTTTTTTTTTTCTCACATGCGGGTGGTTATCGCTGGAAGAAGATAGTGGCATTTGGGTTGTGTGAAGTTTTTTTTTCGGGTTTATACTCTATCTCGTGGACTTTGGAGTGAAGTTTTAGAGATTAGGGTGTGTCGTCATTTCTTCGTTTTCAAGGGTTTTGGATTTACTCTCTATTTTTCATGTTGCGCTCCAAATTGCTGCCGTCTTTTATCGAAAACTGACGTTTCCTGTCATATTACCACTGAACTGATTAATTCATTCGTTAGAATTGATTTGATTTCAAACGGGTCGGAATAAATGATTTTCCCATTTTACTATTCACCAGCGAAATGGCGATGGGACATATGTCAAATTTGACAATTTTATCAAATATCGATTTATCTCAAAAACTATCGATTTTACGTGAAAATAGTAAGAGATTTTTCTTGTCGGAAATTTAATCCGCCACAAAAACGTTCTTCAACGTTTTTATCAGGAGTCGATAGTTTTTGGAATAAATCGATCATTTCGTCGGTCTTATCGTACTCCTATAATGAAAAATAATACCTGAAAAAACTGGGGCTCTGCGATACCCAGAAAAAATAAACAAATTCATTTCCCCAATAATTTCAGCTGTGACAACACTTCGGCGATTTGAGAACTCAATTTCTTCTTCAAAAGACAATTTATTCACGAGGAGAAGCGATAAAACTTGTCCCTTTTCTTTCAATTTCAATCAGATATAATTATATTAATACAATTCCCGATTTCCTCTATTTTTATTTAAATATTGGTAAAATAACGGATAAAAAATTGATTTTCGATCGTCCCTAATTCCGAAAATTCTGAATTCTCATGAATTCCCTCGACTTTCCTAAGAAAATCAGACACACAATTCATAAAATCATAAAATAAATGACAAAATCAATAGCGAAATAGTAAACGAGGATAAGTGCATTCTTTCACTCCCAGTTTTGGTCCAATATCTCGGAATTAAAGAGACATATCGAATTTAGTATCCGAACATTTTTTATAAAAAAGAATAAGAGCTACAAGAAAGGTCATAATGTAAAAATCGTTATCTTCCATTAATTTCAAGATACTGAAGAAAAACGGGTGTCTGAAAAAAATGAACTTATCCTAGTGTACCACTTCGCAACAGAAATTTGGAAAAAAGAGATTTGGAAAAAAAAGAATGGAGAAATCGTGAAAAGTGATGGGACGGAGTTGATTAAAATAAAGGATAAATTTCAGTGCTACTGTAAAGACTCGGCACGATCCAGGACACTCTCAACCTTCAGTATGCAGCAGCAGCAGTCAGCAACGGAGGAGGGAACGGCGTACGAGCCCCCCACGTACGACGAGACATTCCCAGAGCTTCCGGGCTCAGGAAGTAACTCAATAACCCCAACCCTTCCCAAAATGAATGATCGTATGCGTGTGGGTTCGTCTCACGTGACGCAGGTGTTCCACGTGCCAATGGAGGAGCGTAAATTCGACCACAGCAATAAATTTGGCGAGGGTGAATCAATGCGAACGTGTCAAGCAATAATGAAAGAGACACACACGCACATCGAGATGTCATCCTCCAAGAATCAAGTATTGACATTTGTCCTGACGGGAAAGCAGAACGAAGTGCTGGACGCCAGGAGAAGAATCCTCGCGACATTCCAGACGCAGACCAACAAGCAGATAAATATACCCAAGGAGCATCACCGCTGGATCCTGGGTAAACTGCGACAGCGTCTCAATGAGCTGGAGAAAGCAACAGCCACTAAGATAAATATACCATCCGTAGACGTTCAGAGTGACATTATCACGATAACTGGTACCAAAGAGGGAATTGAAAAAGCAGAGCACGAGATGCGAGTTATATCTGACGAGCAGTCACGCAAGGCCTTCGAGCGTGTCACTGTACCCAAGATTTATCATCCATTTATCAGAGGTGCCCACGACGAAAATCTCACCTCCATGATCTCGGAGACTGGAGCTAGAATCAACATTCCACCGCCATCAGTGCAGAATGACGAGATCACGATAGCTGGTGAGAAAGACGGTGTTAATGTCGCCAAGAGAATGATCGAGGAGATCTACAAGAATATGGAGAAGAGGTGCTCATCGGTCTCCGTTGAGGTGCCCAAGAGCCAGCATAAATACGTCATTGGCCACCGGAACAGCACTATTGCTGAGATACTCCAGCTCACTGGTGTATCCGTTGAGATGCCACCAGCAGACTCACCCACAGGGACAATCACCCTCCGGGGACCGCAGGAGAAATTGGGCCAGGCTCTTGATAAAGTCTATGAGAAAGCCAATTCTGTTAGGACTGTGACGATTGAGGCGCCTTCCTGGATTCACAAGTACATCATTGGAAGAAAAGGAGAGAATATCAACAAAATAACTCAGGATTTGCCAAAAGTTAATATCGGATTTACTGCTAATGTCGATAAAATTAAAATCGAGGGACCCCCCGAGGACGTTGAGAAGGCCAGGGAACACGTCGAGGCCCATGTCCAAGATCTCATCAATAAATTGACTTTTGTCGAGCTGAAGGTCGATCCCAGGTACTTCAAGCATATTATTGGTAAGAATGGGGCTAATGTTAATCGTCTCAAGGAGGAGAATGACGTAGTGCTCAATATCTTCGAGGCTGATGGACAGAATATGATCAGGATTGAGGGGAAGGAGTCAGGGGTGAGAGAGGCTGAGGCTCAGCTGACGGAGATGGTGAAGAAGCTGGAGAATGAGAAGGAGAAGGACGTGATCATCGATCAGAGACATTATGCTAGTATAATTGGGATGAAGGGGCTGACCATTAAGGAGATCAGGGATAAATTCAATTACGTTCAGATCACGATTCCAGGGCCTGAGGAGGGGGACATTGTGAAGATTCGTGGACCCAAGTTGGATGTGGACAGGTGCCACAAGTATCTGATGAAACTCGTGAAGAAGTTGGATGAGAATTGTCATGTGATTGAGCTTCCCATCTTCAAGCAATTGCATAGATTTGTGATTGGAAAAGGAGGTGCCAACCTGAGGAGAATAAAGGAAGAAACACAGACCAAGATCGATTTTCCTGCAGAGATTGATGACAACGACGTCATCACCATAACTGGAAAAAAGGAGAACGTAGAGCTAGCCAGGGATATGATCCAGAAGATTCAGAATGAATTATCGAATATCGTTGAGGAGGAGGTGACTATTTCCCCCAAGTACTACAACACATTGATTGGAACTGGTGGTAAATTAATTCACTCGATAATGGAGGACTGCGGGGGTGTGGCTATTAAATTTCCACCGGCTGACAGTAAGAGTGACAAGGTCACCATAAGAGGGCTCAAGGAGGACGTCGAGAAGGCGAAGCAACAACTCCTCGAGCAGATCCATGAGAAAGAGCTGTCGAGTTTCTCTGATGTTGTCAGGGCGAATCCAGTGTATCATAAATTTATTATTGGCAGACAGGGAGCGAATGTGAAGAAAATTCGAGAGTCCACTGGGGCGAGGGTGATTTTCCCTACTGATAAGGACGAGGACTCGGAGACTATCACGATTATTGGGAAGAAGGAGGCTGTGGAGAAGGCTAAGGAGAAACTAGAGACGATTATCAGGGAGATTGATAATATCGTTGAGGATGAGATGCAGATTGATCCTAAGCATCACAGGCATTTTGTTGCCAGGAGGGGAGGTGTCTTGTACAGAATTGCTGATGATTGTGGTGGAGTGCAGATATCATTTCCCAGGGCTGGGGTTGAGTCTGATCGAGTTATTCTCAAGGGTGCCAAGGAGTGCATCGAGGCTGCCAAGCAGAGGATGAAAGAAATTGTTCAGGAGTTGGAGTCAATGGTGACTGTCGAGTGTATTATTCCTCAGGTGCATCATCGCACTGTCATGGGGGCCAAGGGGTGCAAAGTCCAGACGATAACTTCAGAGTTCGATGTTCAGATAAAATTCCCCGAGAGGGAGATGCACAGGGAGGAGCAGGAGGAGCATCAGGTTAATGGTGAGGGTGGAGAGAATGGTGAAGTCAAGGAGACACCTGCTTGTGACATTATCAGGATCAGAGGACAACCCAAAAATGTTGAGAGTGCGAAGAACGCTCTTCTTGATCTTGTACCTGTTACTGTCGAGGTGCCTGTGCCCTTCGATCTTCATAGATTGATTATTGGAAAGTCTGGTAGGGATGTCAGGGTTCTTATGTCTAAGTACGATGTCCATATTATTTTGTCCTCTGCTGAAGAGAAGCTGGACTTCATTAAAATCATTGGTACACCTGTCAACGCCCAGGAGGCTAAGGAGGCCATCTTGGAAAGGGTCAATGATCTAGAGGCCAAGAAACAGGAGAGGGTCCTCAAGTCTTATGAAGTTAAGATTGAAATTGATCCGGAGTATCATCCCAAGATCATTGGACGTGGGGGAGCTGTCATCAAGAGAATCAGGACTGATCACGATGTGCAGGTTAATTTCCCCAGGAAGGGCGATCCTGATGAACACATTATCACTATTACTGGGTTTGAGAAGAATGCCCATGAGGCCAAGGATGAAATCATGAAGATTGTTAATGCATTGAATGAACTTAATAAGGAGGAGATTTTTATTGATTCTGCTGTTCACGCCAGGCTCATTGGGGCAAGGGGGAAGAATATCAAGAGGATCATGGATGAGTACAAGGTGGAGATCAAGTTCCCCAGGAGGAGGGACGAGGATCTTGATCTTGTCACTATCATTGGACCTGAGGAGAACGTCGTAGAGGCTAAGGAACATTTGCTCACACTTGCACATGAATACGTAAGTTTTTTTTATTCCTATTCCCTTTTTAATTATTGAATTATTCAGAAAATAAGAGGTCTCAGGGAAAAATGCTCAAGGACTTTTTTCTGGGCGATGAAATTTTCCAGAGAAAAGGTCTCTTGGTGTTGATTCCTAAAATCAAGGGTTTTTGAGATTAATGCGTATTTATAAAAGTGGAATTCGATTTGTCGAATTTTACAAGGTCTTTAGGGAATTTTTGTGGTGGAGAGGAGGTGAGGAGGACGTGAGTTGAAATATATTTTTTTCTTCAGCTTCAAGACCTTGAGGAGTGGCAGATGCGCCACTCGCTGACTCGCGGCAACAAACGGGAATCGGAACGTCCACGTGGCAGTGAATCAGACTCTGGTTTTGTGGTGAAGGGTGCACCCTGGGAGCAGAATCCCCCCAAGAGTGCCCCTGATACAGCCAGTGTTGCTGATTTCCCGACATTCGTTGGTCACGACTCCAATCAGGTGCCAGTCTCTGCACCTGAGGGCCCCTGGGGCAAACGTTAATCTCGATTAAGAAAGAAAAACAAAAGGTAAACTTTCCTCTAACGAAACAAAAAAAAAAATCGAATGAGAAATTGTCATTCTTGGCTCGATTTTTTCTGAAAAAACTGGAAATATATTTTCCATTTTTTTATACCTTCCCTCATCCATTGCTGAACGCTGCTGCACATCTGAATTAATGACCCTGGCCACTCAATTGGACATCGAATGATTTTTGCTATAGAAAAACCAGACATCTCGTTTATTTACTCTTCAATTGAAATTTGATGATTGTCAGATATTTTTCTCGCCTGTTCATGTATCTGTAGTAAAAATGCAATGGAATTATTTTCCCAAATGCCTTTTCTCTACAGATATATTGTACTTAAGACTGTGGCTTCGACGTTGGAAAATCCCTCGTGGCATTATATTATATTTCTCTTGTTTGTTGAAATTAATTTTCCTCGAGCAACGAATTTTTTTGTACATAAAATTGCATTTTTCCCTTTTTGTTATTATTTTTGTGGAATTATTTTGTTCTACTTTTGTTTTCGAGAGCCTTTTGTATTTATTATTGAGAAAATTTATGGAAAAACCACAAGATGAATTGAAACATGAAATAATCATTGTACTGATAAAATCGCATACGTCTAATGAGGCCAACTAGTTGATAAAATAATGACTAAAAGAGAAAAAGAAGTGAGAGAGATCGACAAAAAAAATTAAAGAAAATTATGATAATCTACTTATTCTGTTAAAAAGTGCCTTGTCTATTTTCTTCGAGGACAGCTCATTTTTTCAATTGTTGGAGGAATGTGAATATTAGTAATTATGTATATGGATATATATTATATAATTGATTACATAAATGAAATATTCACCGTGTACTAAGTAACGAATAATACTAATGGCGACAGGAGAAAAGGTGAAAATGAAAAAAAAAAAAATGCTCTTCAAGTAGCCAACATATGCCGAATATTATGAATGAGAAATTAATGAATTAAATGAACAATAGGTTTTATTAATCATGAGAGATTGTGTACGTGTGCATGTGAAGGTGAATAATGATAGAATCCCAATGGGAAAATTGATAGATTAAAAATTTTTGTCATAATGATCAAGTGTATTCTAAGGTATTTTCTAGATTTTCAGCCAATTTTTATAAGCCTAATGAAACGACCTACGTTCCACCATCATGGGATTAATTAACTGATCGATCAATCAAAGAATTGATTGTAGGAGTGATCGCTGAAATTATTCGCTGAGAATATCAAATGTGCACGAGAGGAGATGAAAAATTTTATCAATTTTTTAAGTAATTTCGTATAGAACTGTAATTATTATACATAATATAAATATGATGTAATGGTGGATTACTGTAAGCTGGCAATTATCATAAAATTAATCATGAGAACTATTATAATACTAGTATAATGTCGATACGAGTAAATAAATCAATCAACTGTTGTTAAACAATTATCAGATTTATTGTTCAATATCAGTCCCTCAAATTTAATTATTTGATTTTTTATAACAATAAAATTCCAACCAGTGGATTGAAGAATGAAAAAAAAATTCCAAGGTGAAATAATTTTTCCATTTTATTACTTTCTTATAGTTTTATTATTTTGTTTAATTTATTACATTCGTTTAAACTATTTTATAATAATTTTTATCTATTTTTAGTATTTTTCTTCGGTCTTTTTCTTTTCCATGTCCTTTAACTGTTTAATAAATCCCTCATTGGGTCTTGCACAAGGTCTCACACTTCTCACTTTGTTGAATGCCTCGGGGAAACTCATGCCCTCCTCCATCAGATAAGCAATTGCAACAGTGGCAGATCGTGAGACTCCAGCATTGCAGTGCACCAGAATATTACCTCGACGATTTCTAATCACTTCGAGGCAATTATCCATGGCCTCCAGGATTCCGAACTCCGGAACATCGAGCATATCAACGAAGGAGTAGGAAATTCCTTCGAATTTCACGTGCGGCTCGATTCCCAGACTCAAAATATTTCTGATTTCCAGGTTTTTTAAAATCTCCAGCGAGAAAACGGGATCTTGAGAGCTCAGGAACACCCCAGGTGCCACTTCAGCCACCTGCAGGTCTGGTTTTTCATCCACGACGAAGGCAAATCCCTCGCCTAACTTCTCCATCGCTTCTCCCTCTTTTATTTCAAATTTTTCACCCAAAAAATTCGTCAAAATCGTTTTTGTGGGTCTCAGGAATTTTTTTCGATTCGCGATTTGACTCGAGAAATCCATTTTTCTAATTAATATTATTTTCTATATTGGTCAACTTTTTGCCGTCTTATTTTGAAGATTGAGTTGAATAAAATTCATCAACAGTTCGAATTGTCTAAATTCTTGAGGATAAATTCAGTAGATTTATCAAAAGTTCTCGACTTTTCAGCAGAAAATTGACGATTAACTGAGTATTGAGTAGATTTTCCTCTTTGGTACTTCGGTATTGGGCACGTGAGGGATAATAAACTTCGTCTGCATCTCTTCCTCGTCATAATTAACGGATTTAAGATAGAGTCCCTGAGGAGGAGCCATCTGGAGTGCACTGATCCAGTGCTGGTTATTGGGCACTTGCAGCATGAATTTAATATCTCGTTCTGTGATGGTCCCAGAAGCTACTCCGATGAGGGCACCGACGATCCTCCGCACCTGATTGTAGAGGAAGGACTGGGCTGCGACATTTATCTGCCAGAAGGTGAAGTTTTCGGAGAGGGGATCCTGGGGCATCAACGAGGGAATCTCTTCGAGATTTAAAGTTGTCAGTGTTCGAACGTAACTTATCTCTCGATTCGTGCGGTTCTTCGCTGCGAAAGATTCGAAGTTCTTTCGGCCCAGGAACAGGGGAATCGCCCGGCGAAGAGCGTCGATATCTATATTTTCGCCTCTAGAAGAAATTTTTAATATTAATTAAACTCTAGAGCTAATTAAATACATTAATAGAGTTATATAATTCAGAATTCACAGATTTCATCTCACAAAAATGTCAATGAATCTGAAAGAGTATTGATTGTAGAAAAAAGAATTAAGAACCTTTTTTGTGGGAAATTTAATTAGCTACAACAAAAGTCTTGTAACTTTTTCCCCTGGAGCCAATAATTCTCGAGATAAATGACTAATTTAATTCGATAATGCGAAAATAAATGAGATGCGTCGAATTTTAAATCGATCAAATATCGATTATATTTCAAAAACTATGGATTTTAAGAGAAAACATGTAATGACCTTTCTCATGGGAAATTCAATCAGCTGCAAGAAATTCCCCTGACATTTTGACCTCAAATCGATAGTTTTCAGGATAAATGAATAATTAATAAAACCCAGATGTTCGACCTGTTTTTTTTTTAACTGAAATGATTTTATGAGCTCACCGCACATGCCAGGACCTCCCTAATTCAGCAATCGGTATCCTATTCTCATTATCCCTCTTGGCTATTCCAAAACGATACAGATATTCCCTCGACCGTGCAGATCTCCTCGCGTTGAACTCATCGGTAACAGGAAGAATTTTCGTCAGACGAATTTCATGTCCGCACCTCGCGAAATATAAATTCGATTTGCGAATTATTCTTTCCGTGTCGTAGATCGTCCCCTCCGGGTGCTCCAGGTCCACGTGGGCAGTGGAATTGAGAGCATGCACCCCTGCATCAGTTCTAAAAATATCTTCAATAATTTGTTCAAAGACATCTCTTAAATTTCGATTTGTTAATAATTTTATAATGGTGCATTTTCACTGTCTAAGGAATTTCTTATTGAGACTATTTAGTGAAGAGCAATTATTTTAATATATTCTCAGGATTTCTCAGGATTTCTCAGGATATATTTTCAGTCTTATTGTTGTTGAGCGACGATTAAACGTTAAAGCACCTGTCGTTTGATAGAAAAAAAAAAGAATGGATTGTTATACTCCAAAAAATGGAAAAAATTACCACTCACCTGCTGGATGTGTATACGACGGGTTTTTTTATACTCCTAGGTTGAATATTCGCATACAAACATGTCTCCAAAGCCCCTTGGATGGTATCAATGTCCATAAGTCTCTCACATCCAATTTGTTTAGCTGCTCCCCTATAAACCAAAAACTCTTTAAAAAAAACTCATCAAATTTCTGTTACCAAGTGGTAAACCAAAATGTAATTTTTTTCAAGCCCGGTTTTTCGCCGATTTCTCAAAATTACAAGAAGATAACGAAATTTTCATAAATACCTTTTTTTTAGCTCTCACCTTTATCTACAAAAAATGTTTATTCAAAAAAATCGCTATGTTCTTTCAATTCCGAGATATCGGCGAAAATATGGCTTTGAAAAAAATGCACTTGCCCGAGTTTGTCGCTCCGTTATTGATTTCTAATTAATAAAGTCATAATTACCTGTACCGAGTGCCAATATACGACAGATATATCAAATACCGAACCATTCTCCACGCCCCGTAAAAAATCCCTCTAATCCCAATAAAAAATTTTTGAAAAATAAACCAATGAATTCTGAGTCCAGAGGTCTTTCTCACGTGGGAAACATAACCTTTTTGAAAAATCACCCGAAATCAGTCGAATCCACTCGATTCATCCCGAGCTAGACTAAGACGCTCGGTAATTGACGGAAGATTTAATTTTTTTTCTTCAAATTATTTTAAAAACCAGACGTTATTGCGTCTTAATTTATCTACAATTCCCCCACATCTATTTTTATTCAATCCCACATAACGACCATTGCCCCTCATTATTCATTCATTAAAATGCAAAAAAAAAACATTACATATTCAATAAACAATAATCGCTCTGTTCAAATCGAATAAATCATTTAATACAGATTAATAAATTAAAAAATCGATTAATATAAAAAAAAGTCTGAAAATTGTAAAATTATCGTGATTATCATTCATATTTATAAAAAATAAATAAATATAAATAAATAATATAAATAAATTACATTGACAAGAACAACATAATAATATTAATAATAATAATAATAATAGTGACAATAATAATATTTATGATGTATAAATATTGATATTATGAGTATTAATTTTATAGAAACGTAATTTTTTAATTGGCTTTAATTTCATTATCAGTCATGAATAAAAAATATGCGATAACGTCTGAAAAATGAGTGAGAGTATCAACGATAACAAATAATCATTAAGATAATTTTCAATCGAGAGTGAAGATATAATTTCTTCAAGCTCATTCTAGTCTCGTCAATTACCCAGAAGTTCATTACGTTAATTGCGTTTAAACATGTTCCCCACACGATTGCTATTTTTTTTATTATTTATATCGGTAATTAATGAAAGGGCAAGTGCACTGCGAGCCCTCGCGATTTTTCCATTTCCCAGTAAAAGTCACGCGATCGGAATTCAGCATCTGTTCCAGGCGATGGCGCGGAGGGGTCACAGTGTCGATTTGGTTTCTCATTTTCCCAGGGATAAACCGATGGAAAATTATCGTGATATCAGTCTTCGGGGTATTCTGCCATCGATCCCCAATAGTACGACTTTTGATATGTTTCAATCATTTAATTTCCTCGGGATGAAGGACTTCGTGAGGATCGCAGGAGCTGAAACCTGTGACCTGCTGGAGCTTCCGGTTTTCCAGGAACTCATGATGACACCCCGGGGGACTTATGACGTCATTATTATTGAAGTGATTCTTTTTTTCGTTGATACTTTAAAAATCTATTCTATATTTAGATGCAATAAATATATAATTGAGTGACGCCACGACTAAATGAATTTGAAAAAAAGAAATCAGTTGGATAGTTTCTCAGATATTTGCAAAAAACTTTTCAAAAACAATCGCCGATATTAAGAAAACTGCTGCACCGATCGGGCTGAAAAGTACCGCAGATGAAGATCCTGTAAACTGACAAGATTTCAGATTTTTAGGGATTAATTTACCCCTTCATTATTTTTTTTTTGTAACAATTTACCATTTACACATATACACATGGGCCTCAAACTTCGTATTTTTAAGTTTCTAAGTTCGACGTAATTTCCAGGAAAAATGAGAAAATCGAAAAATCGAACGATTGCAATGCTTCCATTCGGAACAAACACAATATGTTAATTAGGCTATGAAAAATTTGGATATATATAACAATTCAATATTTGATATTTGATGTCATAGAAAGGATTTAGATATTCTTTTTTGTTTATTGGCTAAGTGAAAAATAATGAGATTTTAAATTTTCTCAAGTGGGTTATAATTATTTATTTATTTATGGATTTCAGTTATTTGTTGCTCCCTGTTATGTGGCGTTTGGAGAGAAATTGAATGCTCCAGTGGTGGGTGCTGTGACATCTAAATTGCCGGATTGGTTGTTCGACAGTTTTGGGAATCCCCTGAATCCCTCTTACATGGCGAGTTATTTTTCGAGTTCCACGCAACGCATGACGTTCTGGGAGAGACTACGGAACACTCTGCATGTTCAGAACACTCGTTTTCAGTTTGATTACTACATGACCGATCAGATTGCGCAGGTGGAGAAGCATTTTGCCAGGAGAATTTCGTCGCTCGATGAGTTGTACAAGGATGTAGCCTTAGTTCTGGTTAACGAGCACTTCAGCGTCAATGATATCAAGCCTACGACGCCGGACATCATCGACATCGGTGGACTCCATATTTATAATAATACTCAGCAACTGACAACTGTAAGAAAATAGCAGAAGATTATTTCCCTCGAACTGAAGGTGTTAATTTGTCAGATGAGTTTCAGGAGCTGCAGGATTGGTTGGACGAGAGCACTGAAGGCTGTGTATATTTTACATTTGGCTCAACCGTCAATTTCGAATCCTTCCCCAAAGAAGTACTGAGAATTTTCTATCGGTCCTTCGAGAGGATTGCACCAGTGCGAGTACTCATGAAAGGAGATCCCGAGGTTCATTCTAAAGATCTGTCAAAAAATGTTAAGATAGTACCGTGGGCTCCACAGATTGCTGTATTGAGTGAGTTCACAAGTCATTCTCACTGTTTTTTACAATTAAATTTATAGATATTTCGTTCAGTACAAAAATACACACACCAATTATATGCTCTCCAGAACATAAAAACGTCAAGGCATTCATAACTCACGGCGGCCTCCTGGGAACTCAGGAAGCTATCGCTTACAAAGTGCCACTGATCGGTATTCCCCTTTTTGGTGATCAATATCCGAACTTGCGAAACTATGCAAACCGAGGATTTGCAGTGGTTCTAGAACTGAAGGCCCTCACCGAGGATTCACTTACTGATGCGATAATTACTGTCCTGAGGGATCCAACATACAGGTTTGGCCAACAAAATTTCATAGAGTTGATAGCAACACCTCAATGAAAGAATTCTTTGAAGAATTCCTATTATTCCTACTAATATTCTGTGCACTTGCAGTGAAAACATAGCGAGAGTATCGGAACTCTTCTGGGATCGGCCAATGAATCCCCTGGACACAGCGATTTACTGGATTGAGTACGCAGCAAAACGTGGCCTAGTCTTGAAATCACCAGCGACTGAACTATCCTGGTGGAAGTTACACTTATTAGATGTTTACGGATTCATGTTGATATGCGCTCTCACTGTTCTATATGCAATCATCAAACTGACCACTCTGCTATGCAGTTGTGCCAGCAGAGTTCTTCCGAAGAAGGTCCCCAAATCCAAGAAGCACAACTAAGTAATTTCCCCCCTCTGATTTGCACAAATAAAACACCATATTAAAACGCGTAAATTCGTCCAGACAGAGATAAGCAGTATCTTTCTGATATTTGCCAATCCTAAAAGATATAATCCTCAAGTGCTCACACGAGTTGAACCAGTTGTACCTAAAAGTCATTGTATAAACTTCTGATTCTTTCGTTTGAGAAGAATCAGATAAATAAAAACCCTGTGGAATGTCTGGCATTACATCAATTTTCTTGTCGGCATTTCTATTAATTATTAACAATGAAAATGCAAGTGCCTTGAGAGTTCTCGCGATTTATCCATTTCCTGGTAAGAGTCATTCCATCGGAGCTGAACATCTCCTCGAGGAAATGACACACAGGGGTCACACTGTTGACGTGGTTTCCCATTTTCCCCGAGAAAAACCCATTCCCAATTATCGTGACATCAGCCTTCGAGGATTAGCCCCAGTTTTTGCGAATAGTGTGACATACGATAAAATTAGGCAGTACAATTTTATCCATCCGAGAGAATTTGTTGAACTGGCGGGAACTGGAGTCTGTGATTTGCTGGGTCAACCTGTTCTCCAGGAGTTGATGAAGACACCCAAGGGGACGTACGATGTCGTAATTGTTCATGTAATTATTTTTTTTTTTTTGGCTATCCTGCACGGAGGGAAATATTCAATAAGAATTACGTGTCGTTTCCATAATTCCGGAGCGAAATGTCGTTGTGGGAACTTTTACGGAACTGTCACGTCATTTCTATCTAAAGTCACGGAGTTTTTCTCCGGCGTTCCGTAATTTTTATCTGAATTATCTGTGAAAAATTACGATACCATCGCTTCAACTTTTCCAGTCGATTCCGTGATCGGTAAGCGAACTGAAAGTTCCGTAATTTTTACTAAATATTTCTTTCCGTGTGGTGGAGATGAGAGATAGATTCGATCAAATATTGTCTTGACATTTTTTGAGAGAAAATGAAAATGAAAGTTTGAACTTTCTGTGTTATGAAATACAATCCAAAAAATCGGAAAATGCACTTTTGACATGGGTCAATATATGTGTAGATATGCATAGAAATTTGTAAAAAGTTTTCTTTGAATTCTCCCGCCAAAAATGGATAGAATTCCCACGATTATACTATCTGTAAAATACGAGATTTGAATAGTATATTTCGTAACTAGCGCGGAAAGTTATTCTCTGTAAACGCGTAGCAGAAGAAACCAAAACCTCATTTCCTCTACCAACATTTTTCCATGACTTGACACATTCGCCTTTAAAATCGCCGAGGCATTGCGTAAAAGACAAAAACACGAGTGCGTTAATAAAGAGTTTAATTACAATTGCCTCATTATTCTCTTGAATTATATTAGTCATGATTTCGATGACTTAATTTTAACTGCAATCATTGGCTACAAAATTGAAATCAAATGGAGTCATTTGAAATCGTAAAGTCATTGGTTCTGAAGCTTGAAGTCACTGAAATAACGTCCCCCTTGCAATTACCGGAATCATTACTGAATTCATTTGAAGTCGACTTCAAAATGAAGTGGTTGCGTCACTCAATTCGGGAGTGACCGCCTCGACCGTGACTCTTTGATAATGTGCTCCAGATGTCATACCAATCAAGATATGCGAAAGTGTATCGGCCAAGTGGACGTTTTATCAGTGTGACGTCACAGGCCGATGCTATCGCATATTAATATATTAATATAATATATTAATATAATATACACGACACAACTACCCCACAAATGTGGTTAAATTTTTTTTACGATCTACAATCGTTCGGCTGCGGCTTCAGAAGTGCATCTGAGTGCCATGGTACTGACATGGATATCACTATTTTCGGGGAATCCCCCATATAAGCACTAAATATTGAATATAATCAGTAATATAATAAATTATGTGAAAAATACAACCTACATTTTGAAATATTCAAATTGTTTTCAGTTATTTTTGGCTCACTGTTTCATTGGATTTGGAGAGAAATTAAATGCTCCAGTGGTGGGTGTTGTGACGTCGAAATTGCCGGATTGGATGTTCGATGCTTTTGCAAATCCCCTAAATCCTTCCTACATGCCGAGTTTTTTTTCAAGTTCCACTCAACGGATGACATTCTGGGAAAGACTGCGGAATACTGTTGTCACTAATAGATTCCGTCTTCAACTCTGTTATTATATGGAGGCTGAGAGTCAGCAGGTGGAGAGGTATTTTAGCAGGAAAATTTCATCGCTGGATGAGTTGTACAAGGATGTAGCCTTAGTTCTGGTTAACGAGCACTTCAGCGTCAATGATATCAAGCCTGCGACACCGGACATCATCGACGTCGGTGGACTCCATATTTATAATAATACTCAGCAACTGACAACTGTAAGAGAATAGCAGAAGATTATTTCCCTCGAATTGAAGATGTTAATTTGTCAGATGAGTTTCAGGAGCTGCGGGATTGGTTGGACGAGAGCACTGAAGGCTGTGTATATTTTACATTCGGCTCAACCGTCAATTTCGAATCCTTCCCCGAAGAAGTACTGAGAATTTTCTATCGGTCCTTCGAGAGGATTGCACCAGTGCGAGTACTCATGAGAGGAGATCCTGAGTTTCATTCTAAAGATTTGTCGAAAAATGTTAAGATAGTACCGTGGGCTCCACAGATTGCTGTATTGAGTGAGTTCACAAGTCATTCTCACTGTTTTTTACAATTAAATTTATAGATATTTCGTTCAGTACAAAAATACACAAACCAATTATATGCTCTCCAGAACATAAAAACGTCAAGGCATTCATAACTCACGGCGGCCTCCTGGGAACTCAGGAAGCTATCGCTTACAAAGTGCCACTGATCGGTATTCCCCTTTTTGCTGATCAATATACGAACTTGCGAAACTATGCAAACCGAGGATTTGCAGTGGTTCTAGAACTGAAGGCCCTCACCGAGGATTCACTTACTGATGCGATAATTACTGTCCTGAGGGATCCAACATACAGGTTTGGCCAACAAAATTTTATAGAGTTGATAGCAACACCTCAATGAAAGAATTCTTTGAAGAATTCCTATTATTCCTACTAATATTCTGTGCACTTGCAGTGAAAACATAGCGAGAGTATCGGAGCTCTTCTGGGATCGGCCAATGAATCCCCTGGACACAGCGATTTACTGGATTGAGTACGCAGCAAAACGTGGCCCAGTCTTGAAATCACCAGCGTCTGAACTATCCTGGTGGAAATTCCACTTATTAGATGTTTACGGATTTATGTTGATGTGCGCTCTCACTATTCTATGTGCAATCATCAAACTGATCACTCTGCTACGCAGTCGTGCCAGCAGAGTTCTTCCGAAGAAGGTCCCCAAATCCAAGAAGCACAACTAAATAATTTCCTCCTTAAATCCATAAATCCCCAATTTCATTTAAATAAAACAACACAACCACGAGATTGATTTGACAATTACATCGTCGACTCCAAATCGATTACATGCCTTCCTCTGCCCAATTCATATCTAATTAGAAATATTTGGATTACCCTCAGTTTTATCAGAAGATCTTGAGACTAGAAAATTGTTTCTTCAACAATAAATGGATAATTGAAGACAAAATGACGTCCACCTGTGCCCTATTCTATTTGACCTTGAGATCAAATTTTTTGCTTGAATGACCTTGAGAACCGCTCGTCTCGGCCAGAGAACCACTGGGCCACGTCACACGAGATACCACATACCAGCAATTTACAAATACTAGTTCAGTTGAGTAACAAACAGCAGCGAGAGCTGCTCACGAATTTATCCTCTCGTCGCCACTTGACATCAAGTATGGAAAAATTTCATCATAAACTTCGCACTGTCTAATAAATTCTAATAAAATTCAAAACTCTGACAGGATCTATTGAAATCTTATTAAATCATCAATTCTATTTGTTTATCGGACAATTCAATTAGATTAAAAATTGCGCAATGTGCACCGCGTGTTCTGACGGCCAATCGCTGATGTAAAAATATTCAGAGATCTTTATTTTTTATTACTGTTATTATTCTGCTGAGATTTCTCCTGCAGGAATTTATGAAACTAATCTTTCTATTCCATTTGAGACATTTGCGCTGAAGAAAATTTGTGTTTCGGGGAAAACTAATAAATAATTTAAAAAAACAAATAGAATTCTTTGGAGAAAGTGATCTAACTAATTAATTAAGTACTCAGTAATTTATTTCAATTTTTTTTCATTGATTGACGAATTGAAGAATTAGTTTAACATTTTTTTATTGAAAAGAAAAATAATAAATTTCAGTTTTTACAAGTCGACGTGAATTTTATAAAAAATTGATCTGTGTTGTTTTTTCTACATAAAATTTATAAGAACTCTGTGAAGATGACGTTCCTGCGGGCTCTGCTGCTCCTGGGGGGAGTGTTAATCCTGCAAACCCAGGGCACAAGTGCCTTGAGAGTTCTAGGGGTTTTTCCTCTCCCAGGAAAGAGTCACTTCATCCTGGCGGAGAACCTCCTGAAGGAAATGGCAAGACGTGGACACAGTGTCGACATGGTCTCCCATTTCCCCACAAAAAACCCCATCCCGAATTACCGGGATATCAGCCTCCGGGGATCTTTGCCGATTGCTGTGAATAATATATCCTTCGAGGAAACCAGGACGTTCAGTGGTTTCTCCATGGCCTTCTTCGTCAGGCACACTGGAACTCAAATTTGCGAACTCCTTGGAACCCCTTACCTGGAGGAACTCCTCAGGACCCCCAAAGGAACGTACGATGTTATCATTGTCGAAGTAATTATTATTTACAATGTTTTTTGATATTTATTTTCTCAATTCTATTAAAAAATTGTGAATGAAGTGCTTTTTTTTTCGAGATCGGTTTTTCATAGATTTTTGGAACGTCAAGGAAAATATAGTATATTTCGTAACAAGTGCGGAAAGCGATCTTTGTCATTTTGAAATGTGGTATAATACCACATGCGAAAATGAGTTTTCTGCACGAGTTGCGAACAATATTTTTCATCACACTGTGCGGGAAAGTTACCTTTAAGGCAAATGGAGCGTGTCTGAAATAGAAATTTATAGTACAAGGGCTGAAAAGCTCTGACAACGTATTTTATCAAAATCCGGGCCGACAGCGCGGATCCTAATTACACATGTTAATGAAATACTTTTCATGCCGTGTGGCATATGTTACTTTATGTTACGAGGCCCAACTAACCGAGTAATTTCTTAGCACTAGGGAGGTAAGTGGTCTCTTATCGGCTTTCTTTTCACTAACGATGAACCTCAAAGATGTCTGATAAGATGTCTATGAAAATATAATTTTTATCACCATGTGCCGAAAAGTAACTTTATGTCACTCGGCCCGACCTACCCCGTACTTTTATTACCCTAGGGAGGTAAGTGGCCTCTTATCGCATTTCTTTTCACTTACGATTAACCTCAAAGATATCTATGAAAATATAATTTTCATCACCATGAGCCGAAAAGTAACTTTATGTCACTCGACGCACCCTAACGTCGTCCTTTTATTGCCCTAGGGTGGTAAGTGATAAATGAAAAGAAAGGCAATAAGCGGCCACTAAAATTCCATTCGGCCATCACCTCATACAATTCCCAGCTCCGCGCAAAACCTCAGTACCTTACGAAACACATTTTTTTGTAGCTGTCATACTTTTCTATAAAAAATGACCTTGAAATAATTAACTCAGCCTATATACCACTTCGCTACTGAATTGTTGAACACTGAAGAGACAATTCTATTTTGGAATACTGTTTAATCAATATAATTATAATATCTTGATATAATAATTAGTAATTAATTACTATTAATTATAGTTTGAATTCCTGTTAAAATTCTCTGAAAATTATTCTAAAATCGTCATGAAATCGTGGAAAACACAATTCAATATTCGATAACCAAAAATCAATTAATCATAATTCTATTATGTTAGAACTTTTCTCTTTACATTTTTTTCTATTCAAATTATTGACTGCTGATACTTAAAGATTTGAAATGCATGAAATTTCTAGAGAGTTCCAACAGCAATTCAACAGATTTGTATAAAAGCCGCTAGATTTTTCTATTAATCTATTTTGTTATTGTCCAGATCTTGAAAGAGAATAGAAAATTGTAGATATGGACACGTGACAAATCAGTAATTTTGGATACAAAATGCAGTTGTTGAGTTATCATTGATAATTATCTCCGTGTTGTCTTTTTGAAAGATAAGATAATTAACGCATTTACAGACAGTTGTTAACACGGCGGGGATTAAATAATAATGTAACAATGTTTTGAATTTATCTGCGCGGAATTGTAAACGTCTACTCTTCACATTTCATGCGCAATAATTTGTCTTTCTAATTATCGTGATGACTCGTTTATTATCCGGAATAAATTATCGGGTTATGTAAAATCAGCGTCGGGTTTATCGATGAGATTTTTCCATTGTGATTAATATAATTGTGTTGATACAGGCGTATCTCGGGTGTGAAGGAAGATAGGAAAAATTTCTATAAGACATTACTTGGTGGAAATTTGATTCTCTCCAAAAAAATCTTATGACATTTCCCCGTCAAATTTCTCGTTCCCGAGATATAGACCGTAAAACCCAGAATTTCGTGATTTTTCTGCAACAGGTCAATTTAACTATCTCAATTGATGCAAGTATATCTAAAAATCGAGTGATAATAGAAAAAATGTTGTGAGACATTTTTTCTAGAGCATTTAATTTTCTCCAAAAAATCCTTATGACATTTTCCCGTCAAATTTCTTGTTCCCGAGATATAGACCGTAAAACCCAGAATTTCGTGATTTTTCTGCAACAGGTGAATTTAACTATCTCAATTGATGCGAGTATATCTAAAAAACGAGTGATAATAGAAAAAATGTTGTAAGACATTTATTCTAGAGCATCTAATTTTCTTCAAAAAATCCTTATGACATTTTCGCGTCAGACCCCGCGTTGTCAAGATATAGACTGAAAAGCAGAAATTTCCACATTCGTCTTTAACAGTTCGACCAAAATATTTTTTGAAATTTGAGTTTATCTCAAGAAGGGCTTAATCTACGGCAAAATTATATCCGAAATTTCATGTTGGAAATTGAATTATCTACAAAAAATCCTTACAATGTTTTTCGAAGAAGCAGCCCGGAAATATACTATCAAATTGAAATTATTGATTCACAAAAACACGTATATTTTATCGTAAAAATTTTTCACAAAAACTTGTTACCGATTCGAAAACTTTTACTAGTAATTTCATCGTAGAATAACGATGGAATCAATTTTATTCCAATTTTTGAATCTCGAAAATTAAATGGAATATTTAAAATTTTGAAAAAAGACCAATCGGCACCTAATGGATTTGTAAAATCGAGTCTCAAGTCCAGGACCGGTGATCTTAAAAAGATCGATCCCGTATCAAAAAAGCCGATGTCACTAAAATAATTTTCTTCTCCAGTTATTCACAGCTCAATGTTACATCGCCCTAGGAAAACACTTGGATGCCCCAGTGGTGGGTCTTGTGGCGTCAAAAATGCACGACTGGTTGTTCGATCCATTTGCAAATCCCCTGAACCCTTCCTACATGCCGAGCCTATTCTCAAGTTTCTCCCAGCGGATGACCTTTTGGGAGAGACTGACAAACACATTCGTAATGAACGTAATCGGCCTCCAGATCAATTATTACTTGAACGAGCAAATCGAGTACGTGGAGAAGAACTTCAACCGGCGAATATCGTCCATCAACGATCTCTATAATGATGTATCTCTCCTCCTCGTCAACGAGCACTTCAGCATCAATGAGATTAAACCGGCAACACCTGATGTCATCGACGTGGGGGGCCTTCATGTCCATGACGATGACCAGATGGTCACGCCGGTGAGGAACATCATGATTTATTGCTTTAGTATTCATGACTGACACGAGTTAATCAATAATCAAGTCGTAGAACGTACGGAATGAGAATTCTTGAGAAGGAAAAACGAGAAAAAAACGTAAATGTTTCATACAAAGTTAAGGATGTTCTGCTATTATTTTGTTATTTTTCTTTTTTTTCTGAGATTTATTGAAAACTATTGGCATCGCGATATGAAAATATAGCATGTGCCTGTTCCATCATGATTGACCTTTTCATAAAGTTT